TAAAGACTAATTGAAAGTACAAAAACTATCCTTTGAAGTTTGAGTTCCTTAATTTCTGTAAATAGAAAAAATCGAAAATAAATCCAAAATCGAACATAAAAATCAAATATGTTCTGTAAAAAGAAGCACCTGCTATCAATATGCTCAAGATTGTCCTTTCTCTCGCTCTCTATCTATCTATTTATCTATCGATCTATTCATCTATCTATCTCTTCCTCTCCCTCTCTCCTCTCTCTCTCTCTCTTTATATATATATATATATATATATATATATATATATATATATATATATATCGTCGATAAGTATTATCAGTTCAATAGGTAAATGCATAAATAATTAAAATCAATAAAATACAGTGCTATAGGAAATATAAAGATGTCACCATGTGTGCTCTGTGTGTTCATACAAACACATCCACAGGCGTGACGACTGATGTATACAGGTCTTGTGTTTTCGATCCGGAAGAGCTGTTTTCGAAGATCGCATTCTTTATCAGTAAAATCAAAACCACACAAAGGAAGGGATGATTGCTTTCATTATCAAAGTTAAAAACACGACTTGTTATTCACCAACAGATAGGTACTTTTGGAATATACATAGTCTTCCTACATTACTTTTTCCTATTACTTTTGCTTGTAAAATCAATATCTAAAACCCCTGTTAAATATCATTACCTTTATCATATAAAAATTACTAGAATTCAAAGACAGAACCTATCAATAAATGTGTTTTAGCGTGTTTCATGTTCAGAGTCACTTACATCATCTTTCTTAACCATAATAATGTATGAAATGAAATTCAGCAGATCACCATGATTATGTTAAATTTTTTCTATCCATTAAATTGACTCATTAGAAATTTGCATAAAAGTGCATTTGTCCATATGCGCTTAATTGAGTACACACACATATACACACACATACACACACACATACACACACACATACATATATGGCAATAAAATTACAACATAACGCACATATAGTGCAGGTGTTAACGAAACAGTGTTCAATATAATGAAACAGAGCAAATATATACATATAGATATTAATAAATATACATACTATCTTACACTTCTATTATGAATCTGAGTTTCCTGCACGACGCAATCATCGGGTCCAGAGTTCAAGTTTTATGGTTTGAATCAAAATATATCTGGCTATCATGACGCTGATGTGGTGATACCTAAAATGTCACAGATGTTAATGTACATAGTGTTCAGATTTCGAATATTGAACCTTATAAATTGTAAATTTAACAAAACTAAGTGGGAGAAAAAAAAGGAGTGAAGAAAATATAAGTATGAAAATAAATTCTAAACTATGATAAAATGGAAAAATAAAATAGAGGAGAAAAAAATAAAATGGAGGAGAAAAAATAATGGTCAAAGCGGGATAATTATAATGCCAAGGAAACAACGGTAAAGAAAAGGATATATAATATATACGGGAAAAATAGAAAAAAAAGTAGAAAAAAGTAAAAACGAATAAATACAGCTTATACGAGCTTATCTGGTGGAGTGCATTTAAGGAGATGTTTATTTTTGTGTCTGCAAGTAGTCATTCATTCACTTCTTTACTTCAATAATTTAGGGTTGTCTAAGTTTTTTAGAATAAGTAGTTTTTCAGCTGAACAGAGACAACGTCTTTCACATTGAATGCGTTGGCCCTAGAAACAATTTCCCAGTTAATAAATGGTGAAAGTCCCCTACTTTTCAATTGTTAGAAATATTTAGAGAGAGCACTACTATGTTTATATTTTACGCTTTCTAAAATCATTTTGTGATGGTAAAAATGCAATTTCTAAGGGTGTTCTGTGGAACCAAAGAAGAATTTAACATTGTTACCGGAATTTATATTCGCTCGGTATATAATGTTGTCGGAAATACATTGACCGTTTAGTGGGCATATCATATTTCTTCGGGAGTTGCATTTACTTACAGAGATAGTGTAATTATATTTGGGAAAACGTTTGTTTAATATAAAATTGTTATAGTGGGAGATGGTTACGTCTCTGTTATTAATGCATGAAAAGCTAGCTTGAATATAGTTCAGGTAAAAAAAAGCCGTTTAAGTGTTGTTGAATGGTTGAAGTAGTTGAGAAAAATCCGCCGGTGTTAGTTTTAACGTTACGACTGAAAAGAGGATTGAACCATATGATGTTACGTTTGCGGTGTTTACGTTTCCTATTCCCTTCTTTGTTTAAGTCCAAGTATACTAAACTTACTTTATAGTGGAAGTTCTAAGACCTGTTTGTGCTTTGTTTTGACCTTATCAAATATTCCTTATTGTTAGAGTTGGTAGATAGATAAATTGTACAGAGTTATGTAAATTATCTAGAATCGTGTTAGAAAAATTTGACAATTTGCTAACATATTTAATATTGCATAAATCTTTAGTGTATGGTTTATAACAACGATTAAACCATACAGGTTTATTCAGGCACAGTCCTGAATAAACACTACAATACTGAAAAAAGAAAGAGAAAAGGCCCATAAAGAAAACTTATCTACACAGTAAAGTGCTTAAACGAATCAAGAAAATATTTACCAACGCTAAATCCTATGAAAGGACGGCTCTAGTCGTGACTTGAGTTTCATGCAATTCGATCTTCAGACGACTTGAACGGAACATTTGATAGACTTCCCATTTTTATTTATTAAACAGTGTGTTTTACGTCTATAGGCCTGCATATTCAAGAAATGTTACACGTTTCGACCTTCGGAATTTCTCCTTCAGACTAATAATGGTTTTATTGATGGCGTCTTATACATATAGTTGGGGAGGAAATACAACAAAAGCTGGTTACCATTTTACGTCGATATACGCCGAAGATCCAGGCGCTTTTAATTTTAAATTGGCCTGTGTGTGCACTGCAATTAAAGTGACTTAGAATCTGATAGGAAAATGCGCTCGTGCGCTTCTATGTATATACATCCTTGTTTGCTTTTCTAACTCGTTAATCTGAACACAAGCAGCAAAGTCAATATTCTGTCCGTTTTTGCATAATATGCAGAAAATTTTTCTAATTTGAAATTTCTTCTTAAATCTCTCCACGTCTACGTGTGCGTTCATGTGTGTACTTAGATAAATTTTATGTACATCGATTAATTTATGCATGTGTTTAATCATAAACGCTTAGGTGTATGTGAGTATCATATATACGTTTGCATGCACGTACGCATGTGTACTTTCACCTCTTCTACTATTTCCTAATCCCATTACCTCTGACAACCAAATGCCTAAAAAAATATTTCCAAATATCTTAAGTAAACTAAGTTACATTTCGTATCGACAGTGAAAAGAAAAATGGCTGATGTCTTGTCAGGAAATGTTTCTGATTTGGCGGCCAGCACTATGCAATATGTTTAAGTTCATGAACTGAACCCACATCGTTCCTTTTTTTTTTTCTACTAAAGATAAATGAAAAAGTCCCTATTCAGCTTGGCAGGGACAGTAAATTTGGTCAGAATTACGAAGATATTGCTACACGATAAAAAACGATTAAGTACAGGAAAAAGTGAAAAAAAAAAAAAAAAAAAAAATGAGGAGAACAAAAAACTTTTGATGGAACGAGATGAACGTTATTTTCTGCACAGCCATGATTTTTGCGTTTACATGGTCAGACGTCAATGTTTTTCCCTTGCTTACCAAAAGATCAAAGTTCATTTTCCATAATTGGATTTTTAAATGAACATCCAATCATAAGCTGAATTGCCGCAGTAACATTTTAATACTGTTTGGTCTATTTTCTTATGCAATTGTTCTGCAATCTTCAAAAGTTGATGGATGTAGCTGTTTCTTTCGTTCATTTTGCTATGGTCACTCTACTCAGATTTCTCTATTCATATTTAGCGCTTCATATCTTAACTAACTTGTCTTTTGTAGATTTATCTGCTGCCCCTAATGGTAACTAATTTGCTTCCGACGTACACATTTGCAACTTCCTTTTCACATATTCAACGTGACAGACCTATCGCTTTGAGTCCCATTCATTAGTTCCACCATTTGATTTGTTTGTTTAACGGCATATCAACAACTTAAGGGTCATTTAATGCCGAAATTTAATTTTCTTGTGAGCTTTGAAGTAATAAAAATATATGTTATTCTCCTTTCACACTTGAATACATGGTAGGTGATACTCAGCTTTTGTGCATATACATGTTTGTGTGGACATAATCAATAGAGATAGTGATATATGTGCTTGATTTTTTTTCTTCCTCCGTATGAGTTCGAATCCTCGTCGCCAATTGTTTTCATACAGCTGGCTGCAAAAGTAGGTATACAATGGGTATTATACCAGTATTACAATATTAGACCTAGGATTCATTTTAATATTTTTATTTTTATAATTTTTATTATAATACATTATAATTCTTAGTCTTTAATAAATAATAATAATAATAATAGTAATAAATGTCTTTCAGGTAAAGAGGAGAGTGTGAATGATGGGTGCAAACAATTTGAACATTTGAGGGATTGATGTATTTATCATCAATATCTTTGTATAATCAATACAATATGTTTTGTGCGCATATTTTGTTTTCATTATTGTATATCTACATTTTGTTGTGGTCGCTGACTACTTTCGTATTCGACTAACTGTCGACTACTCTTGTCCGACATCGACTGACCCTCGTTTCTCTTACTACTCCTACTTATATTAGGTGGGAGAGTCTATTAACTATAGAATAGGTGTGTTTCACCATAACAATTTCTTAAGAAATCATAGGATATTATATGGCTTAATTTGATGAAAATCTTCTTTTATGTTGATTGTTTGATTTTGTTTAGCTGAATATCAACCTCTAAGGGTTATTTAACTGCAATCTTAACCTGTTCAAGGCTAGACCGTTATCTTCCTCTCCTATCCGTATAAAGAACCCCTTAACGTAGCCCTCTGCAACCGTTGGCTCCAGGGCCTGGTACAGGGTAAATCTCACTGCAAAAACTATAACTCTCTATTTTGAGTGGCTCTCAAGCCTTGTATTGGGGGAAATTTAGTATAAAAATCTGAAAACCAGATTTGATTCTTCCCATCGCAAGAGATAGAGAGAGAGAAAGAGAGAGAGAGAATGAAAGAGAGAGAGAGAATGAAAGAGAGAGAGAGAGAGAGATGGGAGAGAAAGAAAAAAGACAAAAGAGAAATTTCCAGTTACCTAACAATAAATATACTCTTTTTTTTTATTAATCGTTTCGCCCCAAGCAAGGCTATAATGACAATATGGTTACTTGGTTTATAACAATGAGGAGAACAGATTCAGGAAGATAGTAGATGGCAATTGAAGTTGCCTTTAATTTTTTGAAAACTGTAGTTGGCAGGAAAGCAAGAAATCGGAATGGAGTTCCACAGGAGAGAAGTGCAAGAAAAGAAACTATTAGAATAGAATAAATGATTGTATCTAGCTAGTTCAACAATTAGACGGTGAGACCTAATCTAGTAGCACGCTTAAATTAATGCACTATTTACATTATTCGGACTATTGTCCTCATCTTTGTCGCCATATTTATTACAATGTTTCGGCCGTTGTACGCTCCGAACTTCTTCAGGTGGTTGGAATGTCGAACTGAACTCATTATTTCGCTCACTGGGGTAGCATGTTCTAGTTCCACGTGCCATGTTTAATGGATGTTAGTTATCAGTTATCTCCTGTTAATTCTCCTCTCCAAGTTCTTCCCCGGAACTAAAACAGTCTACCCCAGTGAGTGAATAATGTCTAATGTGATTCTATTGACACTCTCCTAAAATTTGATTATGTGACTAAAATTCGGGAAATTAAGGCATATTATCAATACCTTACATTAAGGGAATTGATAATTCGCGAACATTATCAAAGTGGGAAACAAACTTCGATACGTTCTTCCAACCCAAACAGGCGGCTCATGAAAGCGACCCCGACTCGCCACCACCACTACAACAACAAATTTCTCCCACCAGCACGCCATTATCATCCCTCCCAAGCACCTGCACTGCTTCGGAGGAATTCCATGGTTTCCAGTAATTGCTACTGAGGCCCCACTATACGATCACGACAGTATTAGACCATCATAGCAATGTTTAGAGTTAAGTTTAGGTAAATTTTAAAACTTTGCAAACTTTATTTAAAGATATGTAGTAACTTAAATATAAAATACACATACATATATATAGTATTTATATTTATTTACAATAATTTTGTACTGTACTGGGTGTTTTTCGCCTACGAAAAAAATGCTTCAAATTAACGGACAAAGTCCGTTAAATTGAGGTTCCACTGTACTCATATTTATATGACGAATATACCATGTGACTTTCAGATTATAATATGTTTGTTGGATATTTTTAAAACTTACTTGGGAATTTTATTGTGCGACACGAGAATTATTCATTGAATTGAAAATAAATGCCTATCAGCAAAAGATCGTGCTTGATTTTCATTGTTAATATAAAATGACCTCAACTTGTCACTGGCATTTGTTCTGGTGCCGATTTCTGGTGTGTTCTCGATTAGAACCTTGCATCGTTCAGTTGCGTGTCTTTGTTGAATGTTGACATTTTGTTCATAAATGAATGCCTTAAAAATGGAGGATGAAAATGTTGCACTTCCGCAATATTATTATGCTCTGTGAATTTCGAAAAGGAGTAAATATCGGAACTGTGACAAAAGAAAACACTCAGAATGGTTTATTTGGATCGTATTCCAGATCTTCGAACGGTCAAAAATGGTTTGGCAGATTTCGTCAGTGATTTTTAACCTTAACGATCAACCACACACCGGGCGACCTTCCGACGTCGATGAAGATACTGCGCTTACCATCATCGAGAATAAACCGAAGATTTCGATGGAAGAGATTGTTAAAAGTTTGAAAATTGGTATCTCAACGGCCTTTCGCCTTTTGAAGTGACTTGGATTCAAAGAAAACCGACTGATTTTTGGCAAAATCTTTACACATTTTCGAATTTCAAGTCATTTTCCTCCACGACAATGCAAAAACGAATGTTGCAAAACGGACTTTGAAGAAGCTTTGAAAGAAAGAAATGGGAAACCCTTCAGCACCTACCGTATATTCCTGACTCGGTTCCAAAGAATGTTCATTTGTCCCGGTCTTTAGAGAATAATTTAAATGACCCTCGCAGAATTCTTCCAATAAAAATACAAATTTTATATGTAAATGGCATCAAAAAGCTTGTAAAACGATGAGAGACAGCTGCTAAAAACAATGGAGATTTTGTGCTTGACTAATCAATGTTTTTTGTTTTTTTGTTTTCCTTTTTTTAATTTTCTAATCGGGCACGAACTTTTGCATTGATCTAATATAAGAGTATAGCTATTGATATTTATATATCCGTATAAGCTTAAAAGAGAAACAAGGTATTGTAAATTTAATGGGTGATGGGAACACAACATTGAAAATTGTGAAAAAATTAAATAGAGATCATCGAATAATCGTGAAAAGAAATTGAAAATTTTGGCAAGATACTCACACAAACACAAACGTGCCTAGACAGGCGCCTGCAAAAGGAATCGGCTCGCCATTATCTATACAGGGTCGACCAAAAGTACGTATATATTTGTTTAATTATTTATATACTGACGAAATATTTTTCATAGGTATTATGAATAATGGCAAATAATTTGAGTCGAAAACAAAGAAAGTGGATTCTAATTTGGGGGAGGT